GTCCATGCTTTCACTTAAACTTCTAAATACCTAGAAACTTCAGCATTTTAAATCTAGGTATTGAGGTAAAACAAGCATTCAAGGATACTATTTCCATTAAAACAAAGCCCTAAATGAGTCCAATTTGTGGACTCATCAACACCCCAACTTAAGCTTTTGCTTGTCCTCAAGCAAATTCAAGTTCAGCCATTCACAAAGGGTGCCTCAAACAGTGCTACACAAGACTAAATCATGAATACATATAACAAGACTCAATTTACTTATGCAATGATCAATTATGTACTCAAAGATTCAAATTGTGACACACCATCACCAAATATTATCATGCTCGCAATACTTGCTACTTGTGCAAGTTCAAGCTCAACAAAAGTATCTAAATGCCCTTGCACAAAGAATGATTCCATATTCACACGCATACATGAGTCAATTTAAAATCAGGAATCAGATACAACGCTCACACTCAAAAAGAGGAACACAATGCATGTTTTCACCCATAGGTTTGCCCTTATTTTCTAATTGGCTTTTGATCCAGCTTACTCAAGATCAAAAAGGTCTTTCTAAGGCTTGTAATGGGGCTGAGTGCAAAGGTATGATCATTTAGGCTTAGTGACTTTTTCCTGGTGATATGTGATGTTCTCAAGACATCCTCATCCCTTCCTTCCTCAATTCTTCTTCTAGTGCTCATAAGTTATCCTATTATTCGTTCTCCATGTATTGCTTGGAAACCCAGTTTCTTTTGCACTTTTATTCTACAACTTTCTTTTTCTTTCTTTTCTTTTCTCTTTCTTTTTCTCCCTTTTTTATATGGAGGGTTTCCATTTTGTTTTGCAATACAATAGGTTCAGGAGGCTTTCTTGCACTTCTTTCTTGACTTTTCCTTTTCCTTTTCACCACACCCCCAACTTAGACTTTTGGCCTAAGTTGGCTCTTCACTAAACACATCTCAAGAGGATTATAGGTAGTGGATGAAAAAACTCTAGGGTTTATCAAGGTTTTTACAAAGAAAGGTAAGGCTCAAAGGTGTTCAAAAGAGTTTCACTCGCTCACAGGTAGGTCACAAAAATAGGTATATGTCAAATTGGCTCACACTCTTTAAAATTGCGTAAGATCTTCTCAAGAGGACACATTTCTAAATCAATCAAACTAACGGGGTAAATTCTAGGTTTATTCATGCATGGTTCAAAGTAAGCTAATCACACAAGGCATCGATACTTCAATCAAACAAGACTAGACATGTTCGCTAGTGTGCAACGGTCATCACAAGAGAATCAATTTGATAAATGGCCAATCACAACGAGATGCAAAGAGTTCACATATTGTCTATACAACTTCATTTGGCCTCATCATAGCCGTACATTCATGTTTATTCAATTGGGAGCACTATTCAAGTCATCAGTATTGATCGAAATCGAGACTCAAATTGTTTTTGTAAAAGAACAGCCACTTTCAACACAAGAGGTGGCAAATTTTTTTTTGAAAGAATCAAAATTATTTTGCAAGTGAAACAACAGGAGCTCCATAGAAAACAAGTGATTTAAAATAATGAATAAAAACAGACAACCCAAATATATACAGAACACACAACAAAGGTGGGCCTCACCCCACCACAAATAAAAGCATTTGTCTTCAAATGCAATAATAAGTATCCAAAAGGTTAGACAGGTAAAGATAGAGAGAGGTGAAGGGGAATCCTGTCTACACGCTTGCTTCATCTGTCGGAGCATTGTTGCCTGCTGCATTAGTTTGAAACTAGACAATGGCCCCCGAGTTGTCATTCTGGGTTTCATTGTGTTCCTTTAGTCTAGCTTCTGCAGCGATGCTAGCTTCGACCGTTCTATCCACATCATGGGCCGCCAAGAAGGAATTCGCGGCTATGTATAATCCACGCATCCATGAAGGAATGGCGGGATCAATGGGAATTTTCCTACTAGCACTTGCTTTCTTACTCTCCCTTCTTTCTTTGGCTAGTTCTGCTATCTTTTCGTCTCTTTTGAAATTCTTTGCTTTTACTTGTCGAGGTAGCCCGTCTCTTCCTACAACTTTTGGTCTTCCCATTTCTTTAGTGTCAACTCAGATGCTAATGAAGTGCTAGGTAGCAATGAGATCCAAACCCGCGATCAATTTGACATTTACAATAATTTAGACTTGCAAGAAATATAAAACTAAAGTACAGGTGTGAGTTTGGTAGGATGAAGAAATGAGAGAGAATGAATAAACCAGAATATTTAAACTTATGGCCTGCAGGAACGGTCCAGTTTTTGTTCATTCGGCGATGTACATTAGGTACGTTCATTCACTTGGCAAAACGTCAAATGTCTAGTCTCTTCGCCAAATGTAACAGGACTCGCAGCTCATGTGAGGATCTCAACGGTGCTCTATGTTGCAATCGCCGACATGGTTGGCGATTCGCTATTAATTTTCTACTGAACACCAAGTTTCACAAAATCCTAACTGACATTGCCTTGAGTCACCCGGCGGAAAGAGTCGTGCTCGCTGATATCATCGGTGATCCGCCAACTAGACTTGTTGCTTGCCTCCATACATTATTTCACTTTCTTCCCTTGCTTTAACCTGTCCAAACTACACACTCAAAGTAAAACAAAGCAATAAAGGGTTTTGGTTTGCCTCCCAAACAGCGCCTTAGTTAACGACGTGGCACGATGTAGGGATACTATCATGCATCCTCCAGGTACATGATCAGCACATTCCCGAAATAAGTTTGGCTCGTCCCAAAAGTATCTTTTAACATCAAATAGGAACCTCTTTCATTGGTAAGAGTTTAACACATCGAGAATCAACCCACATATGATGTAGTTTGCAAAGTCAGCATACCATGGTACGTGTGTGAGTGACAGTGCAAATATCCGCTCGTCTGGGAATGAGTCATTTATCTCCTTAACCTGCTTAGTACCTGCTTTATTCTCTAAACGTGATAGGTGATCCGCAACTTAATTCTCGCAACCTTTTCAACCTTTCACCTCAAAATTGAATTCTTGCAAAAGTAGCACCTATCTTATCAGTCTTGGCTTTGCGTCCTTTTTTTTCCATGAGGTATCAAAGTGCTGCATGGTCGTATGAACAACTACTTTAGTGCCTAGAAAGTATGCCCGAAACTTTTTGAAAGCATAGACCACTGCTAGCAACTCTTGTTCAGTGACCGTGTAATTTTGTTGGGGACTATTTAGAGTCTTGCTTGCGTAATAGATTCGGTGAAACAGTTTGGTACACTTTTGTCCCAATACTACACCTAATGCCATACCACTCGCATAACACATCACTTCGAATGGTTCTGACCAATTGGGGCTGATGATAACTGGTGTGGATATCAATTTCTCCTTCAAACATTTAAATGCTTCCATACAAGCGTCATCAAAGTAGAATCTCACTTCCTTCTCTAAGAGTTTGCACAATGGTTGTGCAATCTTTAAGAAATTCTTAATGAATCTCCGGTAGAAGCCTACATGACCTAAGAAACTGTGAATCCCCTTTATTGAGATCAGCGGTAGTAGTTTCTCGATAACCTCGATCTTTGCTTTGTCAACTTCCAGCCCTTGCTGCGACACTTTATGCCCAAGGACAATGCCTTCTTTCACCATGAAGTGACATTTCTCCCAATTTAGGACTAGATTAGTTTCCACACACCTTTGAAGCACTCGCTCTAAATGTGTCAAGAATTCTTCAAATGTGTGCCCCACGACCGAGAAATCATCCATGAAAACTTCCAGAGAGTCCTCAACCATATCTGCAAAGATGGACAACATACATCGTTGAAAAGTTGTCGATGCATTACAAAGTCTGAATGGAATCCTTTTGAATGCAAAGGTCCCATAAGGGCCTGTGAAAGTGGTTTTCTCTTGATCTTCTGGTGCAATAGATATCTGGTTGTATCCAGTGTACCCATCCAATAAACAATACCACCCTCTCTCTGATAACCTGTCAAGCATCTGGTCCATGAAGGGCATTGGAAAATGGTCCTTTTCAATCCAATTTAGCTTTTGATAATCCATGCACACCTTCCATCTTGTTACAGGTCTAGTCGGGACAAGCTCTCCTTTAGCATTTGGGACCACTGTTATGCCACCCTTCTTTGGTACGCATTGCACTGGGCTGACCCATTTGCTGTCTGAAATTGGATAGATTACTCCTGCATCAAGCCACTTATTGATCTCTTTTTTTACTACCTTTTGCATCGGGGGGTTAAACCTTCGCTGATGCTCAACACTGGGTTTGCATTCACTGTCCAGCCAAATCTTATGGGTGCAGATACCGGGCAGAATGCCCACGATATCAGCTATGGTCCATCCGATCGCTTTTATGTGCTTCTGCAGTACTTCAACAAGCATTTTTACTTGTCTTTCACTCAGATTTGCTGCAATAATCACTGGCAGAGTGTTGTTAGTTCCCAAAGAAAACATACTTGAGATGGGATGGGAATACTTCCAGCTCTAGAGTTGGCGGCTCTTCAATTGATGGCTTTGCAGGTGGGCTGCATCGGTTTTTTAGGTCGATATCCAACTTAATTGGATTTCGTGCATGTGCTCCTAACCCTGTTAGGGCTGCGATCATTTCATCATATTCCTGAATTTCCGAATCGTCATGATTTGCAAGTATTGACTCAAGAGGTTCATTTTTGCGCAGCAAATGGCTCACACTTGCCACTGCCTCATCTATAATATCTTCAGTAGACACTATATGGATATCACTTGGTTGCTTCATGGATTTGCAGATGTTGAAAGTTAGCTCATCATCATCACATGGAATTTCAACTTGCCGCTTTCAAGATCCACTAATGCTCTGCTAGTTACTAAAAATGGCCTTCCCAAAATAATGGGGACCTCAACATCAATGTCACAGTCTAAAATCACAAAGTCAGCTGGAAATATATATCGATCCACTTTGACCAAGATATCGTAGAGGATCCCAACAGGATGCTTGATCGATCGATCTGCCATGAGAAGTCTCATGGTAGTTGCCTTTGGTTCTCCCCATCCAAGTTGCTTCTATATGGCGTATGCCATCAGGTTGATGCTTGTTCCTAGGTCACATAAAGCCTTGGCAAATTGGAGCATTCCATTAGTACATGGGATGGTGAAAGAACCAGGGTCGTCCCTTTTAGTGATTAACTCATTTGTCACGATCGCACTGCAACTATGAGGTACTTCAATCGTTTCATAATCCAAGATCCTCTTCTTGGTGACTAACTCTTTTATGAATTTAGCATACCCTGGCATCTCCAGCAATGCTTCTACCAAAGGAAGGTTGATGGACAACTTTTTAAACACAGACAAGAATTTTTTAAACCTCTCATCTTCATTCTTCTTTTTCAAACGCTGGGGAAAAGGTGGATGTATTTTGGGTAAAGGTTGCATTATTTTTGAAGTCTCATTGTGTTGATTCATTTCTTCTTGTGCTTTGTTGCTGATGTTTTGATGATCGATAACTTCTCCTTCTTCCCCACCCTGATTTTCCTCACGTTCTTCTCCTTCGTTACCTAACGCTACCTTCCCGCTACGGGTAATTACAGCCAGCTCTTCTTCCCCATTTTCCTTTGGCATCTTGGTTGTTAGTTTAGCCAATAGGAGATTCAATTGACCTTCTAGCATCTTGATGGCATTAGCATAAGAGTTCACCTTGCTATTTAGTGAAGAAAAATCATCTCTTATTATCTTTAGCAAATCATCAGAACCTTCAACTTTCTCAAGGATTTGTGTCAGTAGATCATTCACCCTAGGGCTGCTGTCACTCTCCCTTGATGTCGGGCGGTCACTCAATTGAGTTTGGTATTCTTCATAATCTTCATGCTCAATCCACTCTAGGAAATATCGCCTAGGTCCTTCACCTCTAGGGTGGTTCCAACCTTGATTTCCAACCCGCGGTTGATGGTGTGGATGGAAACCCTCCTCATTCCTTCTGTGGTTCTGACCATGATTCCCTCCCGATTTTAAGTTATCGGAAAAAGAACCCCCCTCTGCGCAAAATATTTCACAGTTGCCTTTCATGTGCTCTTGTAGATCTTCCATCTGTGACAACATATTTTTGATGTTTACATCCCTCTCTTTTTCTTTATCGAGTTGCTCTTGCGTCAGCCTGAAACACAGAGGGGAGACTTGATCTTCTTTGGTGTACCAAGCTTGATATACTCTCGCCATACCATCTAGGAGAAATGAAGCCACCTCAAAGGGCTGTAGCATTATGCCACCTTGGACCAATAGATCAGCAATCCCTTTGTTGACTGAATCAAGACTTCAGTAAAAATATTGAAGTAGCAACTCACTTGGCAGCCCATGTGTTGGGCATTTCCGCAGAGACCTCTTATATCTAACCCACAACTCATGAATTGGTTCACTCGCTTTTTGTTTGAAATTCTGAATGTCGTCCCTCAACTTCATCACTTTTGACGGGGGAAAGAATCTATTGTGGAAACCAGTGACTAATTCTTTCCATGATGTGATAAATTTTTTGGGAAACTCAGACAACCACGTAGTGGCAGCTCCTGTTAGTGACAATAGGAATAAGCGAAGCCTGATGGCTTCGTGTGACCAATTTTTGAATGACAACGGGGCATATACATCCAAAAAGCTTTGGATATGTTCATGTGAATCATCATGATCCAATCCTCTGTATAGGCCCCTTGAATGTATGAGATGGAGTGTTGTGCTGGTGACTTCAAAATTTCTGTTTCCATCAACCTACGGCAAACGAATTGCACCTATCTCACCCAATGGAGCGGGGTCATAAACACTATTTTCATCGTCAATGTCATCTCGATGCAAGTCAGTGTTCAATGGGTTGTTTGCGTGGCAACTATCCCCCACGTCCTCACTCATAATTTTTGTTTTCAACTCAAACAAGCAAAGCAAAGTTAAAAATTAAGTCAGTAAACCTAAAACTAAGAAAAACAAGAATTCTTGCCAATGATCCTTGGGATTATATACACTCACAAACTTAAAGAAAAACAAAACTGAGAGTAAAGTTAATAATCTACAATTCATAAGACGAAAATTCTAGTGAACTAAAAATTTTCAAATAACACCACTCACCGACAGTGGCGTCATTTTGATGCTTATCGTGACCAAAGACACTAACCTACGGCATGAGTGTCTACGATCATCGATAATATAGTAACCCAACCGTGGGTTGGGGTCGTGTCCCAAGGCAGCGGTTTTGAGAATTAATAGCCAATTAGAATTTCATTTGAATTAGTCGTAGATATATACATTTGCGATAAAAGACATAGTAAATTACAGGGGGTGACACGAAAGTGTCAAATATCTAATGGGGTTTTTGTAACAAGTGCTAAAATGACAAAATAAACAAAAAATCAAGTATGGGGAAAGGTTCTTGGGATGTGACCGCAATACAAGTTGAGATAAATCGTTGGGTACATGCTTTCAATAGGAAATTTG